TACCGCTCTCACCTAATAACAATTATTGCAATAATTCGTTAATTTTATTAACCAATCAATTCTTTACACACATCGATCAACTTTGCGCGAATTATCGATGTACGCATTGCCGAAGCGAAACCTCGCCGTTATTTTTCCCAGATTCGTCTTGCGGTCACGTGTGTTTTCAACTGCGTAAACTGTTAAAAGATCAATCACTCGAGACAGTTGTGACAGTTATCTGACTCAAAAACGGCAATTTCGCAGATGCGCGATTTTTTATTCACAGTGCCCGGAATATGTTATGTACACGCTGTGTATAGAGAATACACGTGAGAGAACACTCCCGCTCTACGTAAGCACATCTCTGAACGAGGACTGAAAATGCAAGGCATCCCTATAGATTACGTCGCCACGTCACCTCTGCCACGATAGGGGGATGAAGAGAAAAGGGGGCAAGGGTATTTCTCCCCTATCTACGCGTACCTATGTAACTTTTCATACTCGCGGAACGGGGTGGACCGCAAAACCAGATATGCGCGACCTGCAGCCGCTGCAGTTGTGCAAAAACAGTGCGACAAGCAACGTGCTGAGTTTTTGTTTTTCTTTTATCGTCTCTCTCTTTTTCCAACGGTTTCGTGAGATAATGACGATCTATGGTGAAACACGCCACTTCTTGCAAGTCATACTATTCCAGAGTATCAAGGTTGTAATAGGCGCGCACTTTTCATCATATCAGATTGAAACGCGTCGGTGTGTGTACGTACGCCCCCGCCCATGAAAACAGTATATGCGGCATATCAGCAGGCGTTACAAACTCGATTTTATTATTATTTTGATTTTTTTTTGTTTTGTTTTGTTTTTTTTTTTTTTTTATCACACGGTCTCTCTGATCAATATTCAAAAACCGTGGCGACACGACGTGTAACGAAAAATACTGTGCGGCCTTGTTGTATTAGGCGAGAAAGTAGAACGTGAGCACGTCGGATGCATATCAGCGCTATTGTTGATTACAGTCGCGGTTACGCCCTTTCTCTTTTTTTTTCCCCCTTCCCAGTTACTGACACCACTATTGTACAACGGAAAAGCAAAAAATATGTAATTTCAGGTAGCAATTTTGCACGCGCAATAAGTTCTGGCTCAGTTGCCAATTAGTTATAGATTAACAGACAAAAATGCTCTTACAATCTCTTTGAAGGTTTTTCTATCATATCCATAATTTACGCTTTCGAGAACGTTTACATAGCAGTAGATAGCGGCGTACGTTCGTAACGAAGTTAACAGTTTCGTGAGAGAACACGACTATAACAGAGAAATACATTGAAACTTGCAACCAAACTTAGAATATTGTAGGTGTAATTTAATATGGTCCGAGAGAGAGAGATAGATAGATAGATAGAGAAGAAGAAGAAGAAGAAAATTGTTAGTATTTGAAAAGAAATATAAAATAATTTCATTAATTGTCTATCATGTGTGGGTGTAAAAATGAGACGCGTATTTTGAAATTGAGCGAATTGTGACAAACGTTTGAACGTTCTCTCTAACTTGTTGTTAAATGTTCGCCCATTAATTTCGTACCAAAACCTAGCGAGAGCTCTCAAAGCTCTCCGCGAAATTGCTTGTCCAAATTGATTGTTGCTACGAGAAACACATTCTGGCAGTAAAATATGATTGGTAATTACGTGAATGAACGGGGGTTGTAGCGATGCTACTACCACTTTTATCGCAAGCGTGGACCAACCGGTGGGTGGGGGCGGAGGGGGAGAGGGGGTTGGTCTCTCTAATGCAATTCCCTCGTTATCCCGTGGGTCTCTCTCGCGTTTCGTTCAATTCCGACGGGCTTTTTCAAATCTCCGCTAAAGACATCGACTGAACTGGGTTTGCGGCACGGATGTGGAAAAACAAATCGCGTTACGCTGATTATCTGCGCCGAATTCCGGAAGCCAGAGGGAATATCGAACAGCGATGCGGCGACCGAGGAAATGACGATACGCGGGACCGATATGATACGCAGAGATAAAGAAAAATATTTCAAAAGAGAGTTCCGAGAGAGGGGAAAGAAAACTTGCCCTCGAGTTGTCATCGAATGTCGAAAGTTCTTTCAAATGCGTTTCGGTTTACGATTCGTCGAAAAATACGTTTCAAAAATGCGAACGAAATATTAGTTTTTATATTATATAGAAGAAAGTTTTTGCATATAATGGGTGAGTAATTCTCCGTATACTTCTTTGCGTTTTAATCGTATAATAAACGGTAATTGTCGAATTGAATTTGAAAGCACGCGAATCCGCGCAACACGTTTTAGTTCCAAAATAATGTCGCTCAGAATAAAGTAGCTTAATACACGACACGTAGAACATGTGTTCGCAACAAGTTTCTATACACACGTAACTGCCTCTGTATAATATATTATATTCCTCGTGAGATCTAAAGAACTGCATCCGGCAAAATCATTCGGTAGGATGGTACACGGGCGCTGAAAATACGATCCACGAAGGATATTTCCGAGCCAGTGATCCGTAGATTACATGGCCGGTAAGCAGAACGATTCTGACTTCTAAAAAAACCGTCGTCAAAGCAAGCAGGTACCAAGGTCTCTTCTGACCAGCGGACTGTGCATTCGGCACGTTTTCGACCGTTCGCGAATTGATTCACCCGTTTCTTGTATTTTTCGCTCCTCTTGCTATTTTCGTTTACCTTGTGTACTCTTCTATTTATGCTATCGTTTACTTTGTGCAAGACAAAACAATGCGATGCGAGAGAGCGGAGAAACTCGCCGATTCTTCATGTTGCGCCGTTCGGCTTCTGGATGTTTCTTTGTCCCGATTTCTGACTTATTGCATGTATGTGTGTGTAAAAACAAATTTATATATTATCACATTTTACGATACTTTTTTAAATTTTTAACAGCTAGTGAGACACCGCTCGATTTCTACGGATTCTGGGGTAGTTCTATTACATGTCTCTCTCGTGTGTAAGAAGTTCTGACTCTATTCTAACAATTCCTCAAGAATTCTATCGATAATTACTACGGAGATTGTTTTCACCACTTGAAATCGACCGGAAACGCGCGATATCTAAACCGTATAGACAGTGTGAAACGCTGCTCAATTTCTAGAAGTTCTGGCAATCTTATCTTCTATTTTCGTACAGAACTGAGACTTTGTTCTATTAAATATTTTGAAGAGTTTTATCGATTATTGGTACTGAGATATATTTAAACACTCAAAAGCCGCGATCGGAACGGTGTATTTGACCATAAAAATATAATACTTAATAATTTTTGCTTACTTAAAACACAAATCTAACTTTATTTTATTTTTTATTTTTTTTCTATTCTCTGCAAATGCTTCAATTTTCTAGATTATTGGTTTTAACAAGATTTTCCATGACGTCAAAAGTGTCATTCTATATGTAAAAAACTATATCTGTAAAAACCTTTATATTTCTATAAACTCTTGTATTTCTTAGCATATTTTTGTTGACCTGTTACAGGTTTTAATAAAAACTTTTTAATAAAATCTTTTTATAAATTTAAGGTTTTAATAAAAACTTTTTAATAAAATCTTTTTATAAATGATATGGATAAAAAAATATTAATAAATATTCTTTTTAGAAGAGAAAATGTTACAAAATTTTATTTTCTTTAACTTGTTCAAACTTTGAGAGAAAAATAAAAATCTAATTTTCACCTTATTCTTTGGAAGAGTATAACTTTTTCAAAAGAGATATAAAAGTATATACATATAACACACATATATATATATATATATATATATATATATATATATATGTATTTAATAGTAACATGTTTATATAAAAGACTGTCTTTAATTGTTTCCGACAAAGAATCGTTTCCTAAAATTTTTCGCACTTAGAATCATCCTACATATATATTGAAGTAATAGAAAGAAATATTGAACGATATAGACATTTATAGCTATATTGTATCAATGTATAAGAGAAGAGAATGCACGTAGCTTGAACCTGTCAATAATTTTTGCTCGAAAATACTTTAAAAGTTACTATGAGTGACATTAATTTATATTACACGATCGATGTTTTTCAGTAAAGTAACGACTAAAGCAGTTTTATCTTTCTTCTCGTGTGTTCATAAATTTTAACAATTTAACCGTTGTTTCTATTTTTCTATAAAAAAAAATTTTTTAATACACGACAAAAGATGTATTTATATGTTGAAAGACAATCAGAGTAGAAACACGGCACTGGTGACTGAATCAAACAACTTTTCTCTGAACAACTTTGTGGTTCTTTTATAACCGTTTGAACATTAACGAACAGTAGCTTGTATAAATAATAAAAGTAGTGCGTATACAATAAAAATATGTTATATTTGTATATATTTTACGTATGTGTAAATATGTTATATGTATTACATATTTTATGTGTGTGTAATATGTATATTTGTCAGGTATCAAGTTTCATACTTAATGACCCAGCACACTCGCAACTAGAGAGCAATTACTAATGTGCACTAGAGTAATTACTAATGTGTACTCAAGTAATTACTAAAATAACAAATAAGTTATTTACCGTAGTTTTTACACAAAATGCATAAAGCTTCGTAAACGGCTCGGTGTTTAAGAGCTCGGAAAGCGAAAAATATAGGTTTGAATTCTGGTCTAGTTTTCGTGCCAAATAGTTTGTATCTATAATTCAATTTTACGTGAATTTAGTTTTTATCGGATGGGAGTATAATGAAGAGAATGTTTTTCAGATTGGTTGAATTTGTAGAAAAACGGAAAATCATGAGTGCGGAAAATCATAAGGCCTGTAGCTCAGACAATTATAAAAAAGCAGTCGTTCAGAAAAAAAGTTATTCGATTCAGTCACTACTGCTTGAGTTTTTTCTTATTCTGATTTTTATTCATTAAAATGAATAAAATCTTTATACACACACACGTACGCATATATGAAGATTTATTCGTATAATAATTGTCGAGCGTACTAATATAAAATATGTAAAAACTTTATATAATAATGTTTTATGTTTGTTGCAGTTGAATAAATAAATTGCATTTCACTATGTACCACTGAAGGACGTTCCAGGAAGTTCTACAGTATTCAGCATGCAGTGAGTAAAATTTGAAATATATTTGATTAGCATTTGCTTTTACCCGAGGACCGTCATATTTGCGCATCATGTGCTACGTAAATTTTCGTTAGGTTGCTAATGTTCATATGTACAAACGGCCTGGTGCATACAGATGCGCATCTACGTGATCGAAATTTCATACACCCGTTTATGTCCGATAATCAATGCGAAAGCGACTAATCAGGTACCACGCGCACGCCACGCGCAAATTATCGTTTGGAGTGACGTAAATTGGTGCAGCTGCGATAACGCCAAGTAAAAATGAGCTGTGGTAACGAATGGTAGTAAGATAATATAAAAAGGTACGCGACATATAACTTTGTTGTAGAACAAAAAATTCTATTAAACTTCACGATGCAAAATTAGCATATTGTGACTTGCAAATTTGCAAAACATATACGAGTAGAAATTAAATGATGAAAATATTTGAATGTCTGCGGAGTCTGTTGTGTTTTTCACCCGTGTGTGTAATATACCAAGCAATATTTATACATACACGTACATGCTTTCTTTAATTTGTCTTTTTTCAAATAAAAAATATACGAATGGTCATTAAGAATTAATTTAAATGTTTGTTCTTTAGGTAACAAAACATGTGCGTGTTCAACTCTTTAGCTATATCTTAGTTCTCGATTTTTTTACTAATTTAATTACTTTCCGCATATGTGTATGTTTATATGTGTACATATATAAAATATACGCGATATATACTTATGCGTGCAAAAAATATACATATAATTTATGTACACAATAAATATTTACAAGCTTGTCTTTCTCAATCACTTTGTTCACGTATATTTCTGCCACTTTACGAACGACGCATGATTGATTATATCTGAGCCTGCCGTTAATTACTCAACGTAACATTTCGATTACCACATGCAACGGTTAACTACACTGATGTTTGAACTGATTAATATCAGTATACTTAGATTAATGTGTGATGAGGATGGCAACAACACGGAACACTGAGTGTGATTAATTGCCGCAAGATAATTGCGTTTCTTTGTACTTTTAATGTCCTCTATTGTCATAGATAAATACACGAGACAATTTTATGCATTAAAAAATATCTTCATCAATAATGCTAATAATATTATGAAAATAAGCACGCATATATTTCTGTAAAACGTATCGTGGAATAAAAATAATTATCTTTCTTATAGTGTACACACACACACAAGTACACACATAAATAGCAAGTTGATTACTTTTTCTGCTAATATATTCGCCTGCATTGCTGTGTGTTTTCAATACGTACGTTTTAATTGCGTACATATATTTGCCATAAGCGTACAATTGCCGCGATTCGATGTATATTCTATATGTATATTCTACATGCATATTTTTGTTTCCGCATATATATATATATATACAATCCTACAACCGTCAGTGATTATCGTATCATTAATTCACTATCATCATAGTGCGTATCTATGCAAAACAAATTATAAAGTCATAATTTATTATAGGCAGTTCGATTAAAATATACATGTTATATATCACGTAGTTCGAGTGCGTGTGACAATGTAACAGGCGCGATGCAACGCACGCGCTCTTGTCAAAAATTTGAACAGTCAGCTCAATCATTCGTCGTCATTACTACAATATTAAACTAAACTGTAGACGCACGCGTTTTTTTTCTTTCTCTCTCTCTCTCTCTCTCTCTCTCTCTTTTTCTCTCTCTTTTTCTCTCTCTTTCCATTCGCTTTGTCGTTATTCCATGTATAACGCAAACGACGTGTCGCGCGGCATGAATCGAAAATTCCTCCTCGCAATCGACCGCGACGATTATCCGGCCATTACCTTAATTGCTGGCGTCGCTAATGCGCGTATCCACGCGCGTATAGTTATTCGAATGGCCCGACGTTCCACGCACCCGAGGTCACCGTATCCGGTATCGGTCTTGCACATCAGCGTTCGCCGTTAGTTTAGCTTACCATTTCCCCCTAGAGAGACGTAGTTCTCTCGTGCGAGTGTCACGTCGAATTGCCCGGGCCAGGGGTGGAATCGAGCGAGTTAAACGAGCGGATCTGAATGTCGTCCAGACGGACATGATTGCATAGGGAAAGACTAGAAACTTCGTCCATAATCCGCTAACCAGAGAGATTGCAACCCGAATTCGAAAGCGCGAATTACGTACATGGGAAATAACACCTAATACTCACACATCCTATGTCTAAAACTCTAGTAACGCAATTACTTGAAAACGCATTCGACGAAAGCCGAGGGGAGAAAACGATAAGTGCTCACGGTTATTTCCTAACAATTTCACACGAGCAACAAGCAATAAAACTTTCATAAGGATAATCTCGGCGACAAAAATTGTCTCGGTAAAATCTAGTTTCTCACGCGCAAGTATGTACTACAATACTTGGAATGTGTTTGTATACGATAGATAATTAGCAAGGCGCTATAGATCAGATGCTTGCGAATTCACGTCAGTATATCGTGTTAACAGCAACTACGTTCGATTAGAAATTCCTGAAGGGTTATCCGCGAGTATGCCCCGACCTGTAGAAAGGCATCTAACCGAATATCGTCGTGGCTTGCGCGTAAATTATGCACTGCAACGCATAGTATGCGTCGTAGTGTCCGTCCATTATCGAGAGCGCGCGGCAACGAGCTACACGGTGAAAATGCCAAGGCGTGCAATAACATGGCTAATAACCGCGCCATCCCTTCGTCATATCGTGACTTATCTTTCTCATAGTCACCCTATTGACAGCACTCGCGCAACATCACGTGGAAGAAGCACGTCGTTACACAATAATTAATTCGAGAACATGTATGTAACAACAAATGATGATGTGTTATTAAAATTCTGTTATATGAATAAAAATAATGCACTTATAAATAATGAATTGCACAAAAATTATTTTACGCAGAAATTATTTTTAATAAGCGAAGACGAGAAGAAAATCACGTGCGCGCGCGCAAGTGTGCCTGTTTTTTTGTACGTGTATATATACATATATATAATAATTGCAAAGATTCGTTAAATTTAGATCACAAAAGAATCAGAGATCAGGGACAAATCAATGTGCGTGAAATATTGATATTGAATGAATAGGAATTATTGCGCGGTGCGATAGATAATAATAAAAACCGAACTCGTATATCATCATTACTTCATCGCAGTGACATTCGTCGTCATTAGTGATATAACAAGAAAAAAGATAATCGGATCAATTAACAATCCGCTAAGGAATTGAATATAATCATTCAGCGCGAGCGCTGCGCACACGTATAAAGAATCCGGGCATATTATTCATAAAAAGAACTTAGCGAGCCCCAAGGACGCAACTTAAGAGCTCGCATACATTTACATGCGGTTTTATGCGGTAAACTATAAATTGGAATTAACCGGTGAGAGAGCGGAGGGAGGGAAGTAGGTATGCAGCGCCGAGCGAGTTTGGAAGCTTTCCAAGAGCGCGTAGCGTTGTATTGACGCTGCGGATCGCGGCGTAAAATGCGGGACACAGAGAAAAGTGCAATTGCGCATACGGCAGCGCAAGGTAAAATCAAAATTGTCGAGACATGTTAAAAAATAAATAAATAAAAAAACGAGAATAAGCGGTCAACGCGCCAATGCCGGACGCGGTGTACACAGCCAGCCTTCTCTCTCCCGCCCCGCCACCCCGCGCTATGCGTACACAGGTGCGGCGTAGTGCAGTGCTTAACTCGAACGCGGTACGCCATTACGTTGCGAGTTTATGGCGCCGCCTCGGTGTAACCGCCATATCCTGGACTGTACAGGAACGACGGAAAAATATAACCCACTACGTCGTTATAATTAGCCCTCCATTACGTTTAACGTCCATTAACGTCGTTAGTTTCGTAGCGGGGGCAACGCGACGGACAGGAGTTTCTACGTGAAATCCGCGCGGGCATGAAATTTCGTCGATGTTAAATCGAGCGAATCTGCCATTTCGATGTCAATTAATATTCCACGCTCCGTTTTGTACTAATCGCTCGCAGGAAATTCCACTCGAGAGAGAGGAGCGCCAACTTAAGTTCCATTAAATTGTACAAAAGCGTGTAACATACGATTCGCAGACAATAATTACCGTGATATAAATTGCGCGGGAAAATTTCTTTTCTCGATGAGATTAATTTATTCTGTTACGCAACCTATCGAAACTTGTTTGTGTTGAAAGGGATAAAAGTTGGGAAAGCCGTTAGCATCCGCAATCAATAGAAGCGATTAATATGCGATTTAAATTTTTACGTGTCCTTCTGCTTTTTAATTCTTATCTCTTTCAATGTCACTATTAACACACTTTTGCAAAGATTTGAGGGAATGGCGGAAAATACCATTATACTTCAGATCCATTAACGTCCCAGTTTTTTTCGAAAAAGATGGCGTTTGCGGTAATCATCTTTCTGAGAGCTCTGCGCAAAGATTTCTTCTTCATCTGTTATCATTGGCTGCTATTAATTCCGCACGCTTTTTTTTTTTTTTTTACTGAAAGATTCAGAATAAAATAGAAATTTCGTCGTGAAAAGGGAACGTAAACAAGAATAAAAAATTCGAACTAACGAACTTTCCGATTTCATGCAATATATTTCGTCAACATTTACTTAGACCAAGTTAAAAAAGAAGACGTTGTCCGTCGTTTGTTAAAGGAATTATTGCCTGCACAAAGGCGACGCATTAAAAAAACATTTAAGTTCCTTTGCATCATATAATTTCCTATCTCGACATATAATTTCCTATCGAAATCCTGAGATAGATTATACCTCTCCACTTGAATAAGCGACTCACTTGTCACGATTAGTCAGACGAACTTTTCACGATGATGCCTCTTGCCTCAATCTCCTCCCGCTAATTGAATCTATTCGTGAATAAAATTCGCACCCGCTCAAAGGCGACTTCTCGGCAAGACGATCACTTTATAGTTTTATCTTAAAAACCCTTCATCGAGTAACAAAGCGGCGAATATTCTAACTACGCCCAGTTGCCTTCCTAAACTTCC